AACTGTTCTGGAACAGTGTTGTAAATACAACTTAACCACTGATTTCTAGTTGTGTCCTCTTTTGGAAGGCCAAACAAAGTATTTTCGCTTTCACAACGAAGCACACAGCGTCTCCACGACATGGCGGCGGCGGCAACAATACTACAGCCAGAATCAAAGTTACGCCTTTCTTTGCGTGAACATTTGGGCGGAATCATGCAAATCTTCCCACACATTGACGTAGACATGTGGGGGTGTGTTTAAACGAGGCGTTTTAGGAGGGCGTGGAATAGTCTTAACTTTTATAAAGAATATCTCTTTGGGTTTGAGACTTTAGTCTTTGCAACTTTAGGGATCTTATCTATTCACGAACAGCTTGTAACACTCCAAAGAGAAAGGAAAACTTGAAATCGCATCATATGACCCCTTTAAAAAAAAAAAAAGAAAACAAAAATGCAAGCTGTTTGGAGAGACTGTATGCAAAAACATTAAGGCTAGTAAAATAAATAAATTTAAAAAGTAGAAGAAAAATATGCTACTCACCATCTTTAATATTTACTTTAGTCACTATTACGCAAATATGTGAGGCTTGAAGTCTGAGGGTTTGTAAAAACGACTGTCAATCCCAAACACTGTGTGAATGTGGCCAGCTGGTAAATGATGACACTCCTTGTCTAATGTTAACAGAGGTGCCGTGTGTCTCTCCTGTCTGTAGGTGTATCTGTCCCTGCTGCGCATGTATCTGTCTCCTCCGGACGTGCACTTCCTCGGGCCCATAAAGATGGAGTTATGTGAGCCACAGGCAAACCTCCAGGCGGCCCTGAAAGTGCTTCAGCTCCACCACAGCAAACTAAACACCACCAAAGTGAGCATCCACCAAATACTAACAATATCATAGGCTATCAAACACCCAGAACACCGTAGCATCCGTATAGGAAATCTCTGAAAAGCACCCAGAACACTCAAGCATCATAACATCTTCTGCATGGGCTAGAACACAGGAAAATATACATTTGATTCTGGAATTGAAGACATTATCACCAAACCATGATAGTTTCCTTTCCTCAGCTGACTGAGAGTGAGATACTGAAAAACTGCATGTATGCTGTTCATGTTCCTGTTGAATTTAGTTCCTCTTTCCTTTGTGGTGTTGAAGTTCCATCTTGTAAGGATGTCAAAAAAGCTGAAGCCATTTGACAATTTCAGATCACTTACAGAATCCATGGCACGCTGTCTTACGCCGTTTCTCTCTGCCTTTCATAAGGCCATAAACCTGCTGCCAGCCAACACACAGATCCAAGAGATCCAGGTCTTTCTGGAGAGTGTGCTGGAGGAGAAGGCTGGGAGGAAGCGCTTTGACCAGGTCCTGAAGAGCCTCCTACAGGCCGAGTTCCTGCGGGTTTGTTAACAGTTTTCACTTGCTTTTAAAGCTGTATTCCGTGTTTTTAAGGTACTGGTGACTGCATCATTTTGTCAGATTACACAGTTACTTGATGAAAAATCACTAGCTGTTACCAGAAGATGCAATAACTGCTAAGTTGTTAAATGTTGAATAAGAAGCATCACTAATTCTAACTAATTACTCTCCAAAATGGCCCTTATGTTTCGTTTAATTTATAATGTTTGAATGGGTTTTGTCCGTGTGCAGGTGCAGGAGGAACATATCTTTCACCAGCAGGTGAAGTGTGTCATCACAGATGAAAAAACCTGCAGAGTGTGCAAGAAGAAGATCGGAAACAGGTGCGCTTCATGCTAATATCTCACATTATTGTAGTAATATGCGCATTTTGTTTTTTGAAATGCAAAAGTGCATACTTTTGTGTGTAGCGAAAGACATAAGACCACAGACATAACAGAGTAAAATGCATTTAATAGAAAATCTGATATCTGATAAATTGCATTGAGAGAAAAAAAAGAGAAGTTGCATCGTTGATTAGGGCTGCACAATTAATCGAATTTCTAATCGCGATTACAATTATGGACGCCACAATTACGTAATCGTTCAAAGTGGCAATTAATCGTTCAAAGTCCACTTATGTTATTCTGCACGCTTAAGATATGTTTTTTTCTTTCTACATGTTATCTTAAGGGTTTTTCCATTGTTTTAGTATAACATTATAATACCATTCATATTTTTACTTTTTTTATAATTTAAAGAAGAAACCAATCTGATGTATATTTGACATTTGAGGCTTAATACTATAGAAAAGCACTAAAGGCTTTTCAGTTAGTGTTTTCAGCTTGTTTATTTTCATATAAAAATACGGCATGCAGTTGCATCAAACAATGGTATAAACATCATTCAGTGTAAATTATGATAATCGTAATTAATTACTATTAATTACTATTTCAAGGGAATAAAAGACACTTATGATTTTTGTCATAATCGTGCAGCCCTATCGTTGATGCATGTTATTACATTAATAAATAATGTCAAATATTGGTAAATTAAATGTTTACAAACATTATAGTCGCATTCATATATGAGTCGCTTTAGAATATAATTTACAGCATGTTTAAGATTATAAAAAAAGCAACTTATATTCTAGAAAATACGGCACCATCGATTAGCAACCTCAGAGGTCACTATTATGCCCTTTTACGAAGTCCTGATTTAGTTTTTGGGGTGTACTAGAATAGGTCTTCATGCTTAATTGTTCCAAAAACGCATTATTTTTCATATATTTTACATTAGTGCAACACCTCTCTTCCCAGTCTGTCTCAAACGCCCTTTTTACTTCCTGTTTCGATGAAGCCCTTCCTTCTGAAATACAAAACGTGCTCTGATTGGTTAGCTGGCCCAGTGCGTTGTGATTGGCGAACCGCTTAGAGCGTGTTCCAGAAATGTCACGTGACGTGGTGACAACACGCTACTAAAGCAGCTCTTCCTCTTCTTCGTCTTCTCTAGCGCAGCTCAACCAGGCCTCGCCCATGGACGGGCATTATTTAAATGAGATGGCACAATATCCAGAAGAAGCACGCTGTAGTCCAGAGGAGGCGTTTGTTGTAGTTCTTGAAAAGTATTTTCTGTTAAAGACAATATCTCCCTTTGGAGTGGACTTTGACATTTGTAACCTTGCAAATTTTTTTTATGCCCAAACAGCAACATTACACACTAACTAAAGTAGAAAAAGTGAAGAAGTATAGTAGGACCCCTTTAAAGGTTTATAAGTTATTGTTAAAAGTCAGTTTCCCGAATTAGATCTAGGAATTATAATGTTCATTTCCTGTTTTGGTTGAGGGGTGGGAGGGTTGGCTGGCAGCATTATTTACCTCTGGTTTCTAGGTCTGGTATCTTATTTTTATTATTTACAATTCATGATTACAATTTGTTTCAGTTTGGAACCCCTGCATGCTTCTAATTTCTGTACCACTCAGATAAAATAGGTGATGATTATGGAGGTCATCCTGTGAGGCTGATGACATGGAATGTCAGGGGATTAAATGGTCCTGTTAAAAGAGCTAAAGTTTTCTCCCATCTTAAATCTTTCAAACCAGATATATTGTTTTTACAAGAAACACATTTAAGACTGGAAGATCACAATAGAATTCGTAAGATATGGGTTAGTCAAATTTTTCATTCCAAATTTAACAGTAGATCAAGAGGTGTGGCAATTTTAATTAATAAGAGAGTACAATTTATACCTTCTGACACAATCTGTGACCCTAATGGTCGTTACATTATTGTCTCTAGATCTCTCTTTCAAGTCCCGGTGGTTTTAGTTAACGTTTACGCTCCCAATTGCGATGATGTTCAGTTTGCAAATAGTCTCCTATCATTAATTCCCAAGCTTAATACACATCATTTGTTATTCGCTGGTGATTTGAATTGTGTTTTTGATCCTCAGCTTGACAGGTCCAGCACTAGTAGTAATGTTTCTGATATGGCGAAGGCTTTTTCTCTATTTATGCAACAGAACGGCTGTGTGGATCCTTGGAGATTCTTAAACCCATTGACTAGACAATTCTCCTTTTATTCCCATGTCCATCACTCCTTTTCCAGACTAGACTATTTTTTTATAGACAACTTGTTTATATCAATGGTCAAGAAAGTTGATTACTGAGGGGTCAAATATTATCTTATACATCATATGCTAATAAAGAACGTAGGAAGGAACTGCAAGCACTCACAATCCATATTAGATTTAGACAATATTCTGAATCACCTACAGCCGAATTACGTAAAAAAAGAGTGGACTTGCAGACAAAGTTACATTTTTTATCCACTACTCATGCAGAACAATTAATAATGAGGACACATAGTCTTTACTATGAGTATGGAGACAAATCAAGTCGGCTCTTGGCTCACCAGTTGAAACATCAAGCCGCCTCCCGTCTTATTTCCCAGATAAAGGACTCTAATCAAACATTAACTTGTAACCTAAAAGAAATTAACAAGATTTTTAAAACCTTTTACTCCTCATTATATACTTCCGAATTCCCTTCAGATCCAACGGATATGGAAAATTTCTTAGATAATTTAGATATTCCTACTTTACAATCAGATAAGGTGGTAGATTTAGAACATGACCTCGAGATTGAAGAAATTTGTAGGGCCATTATGGCAATGAAGAGTGGGAAGTCTCCGGGCCTTGATGGGTATCCTATTGATTTTTATAAGAAATTTAGGGAGAAACTTGCGCCAATTCTTCTTCATGTTTTTGGGGAATCGTTGGAGGCTGGCTCCCTGCCTCCAACTTTTTCACAAGCATCCATTTCACTCCTTCTTAAAAAAAGATAAAGATCCTACCCAGTGTGAATCATATCGCCCCATATCTCTTTTAAATACTGACATTAAAATATTAGCTAAAGTGCTAGCATTTCGTTTAGAATGTGACCTTCCCTCAATAATTTCAGACTATCAAACGAGATTTATTAAAGGTCGCCAATCTTTTTCTAATATTCGTAGACTTGCTAACATAATGTATCTTTCTGATCCTTCTCCGCACCCGGAGGTAGTTATCTCATTGGATGCGGAGAAGGCATTTGATCGAATTGAATGGCCCTATTTGTTTGCAGTTTTAAAAAAGTTCGGTTTTGGTAATATTTTTGTGTCTTGGGTTAAATTAATATATAATTCCCCTTCAGCTTCCATTCAGACTAATTATTCTCGATCAGACTTTTTCCCATTAACACGTGGGACTTGTCAGGGATGCCCACTGTCCCCACTCCTTTTTGCCATTGTGATTGAGCCTCTTTCAATAGCTTTGAAAACAACAACAGCGTTCCAAGGAATTAAGCGAGGGGGTATTGAACATCGTGTGTCTTTATACGCCGATGACCTTTTGCTTTACATCCGTGACCCTATATCTAGTTGTCCTTTAATTATATCCTTATTAGGTCGGTTTGGTACCTTTTCGGGATACAAATAAAATTTCCAAAAAAGTGAATGTTTCCCCATGAATAATTTGGCCTTACAAATTCAACAAGGATCATTACCCTTTCGTTTTTCTCCGGATGGGTTTAAATATCTTGGAATTCATATGACTCGCTCCTTTTCTTCTTTGTTTGAAGCCAATTATAAAGCTCAGTTAAAAGAAGTAAAGGCAGAGTTGGAAAGATGGCATAGTCTTACCCTTACTTTAGCCGGAAGAATACTTTCAGTGAAAATGACAATTCTTCCCAAGTTCCTTTATTTGTTTCAGTCCCTACCAGTTTTTTTGCCCAAATCCTTTTTCCGTTCATATTTTTGTGTCTTGGGTTAAATTATTATATAATTCCCCTGCAGCTTCCATTCAGACTAATTATTCTCGATCAGACTTTTTCCCATTAACACGTGGGACTCGTCAGGGATGCCCACTGTCCCCACTCCTTTTTGCCATTGTGATTGAGCCTCTTTCAATAGCTTTGAGAAAGCTTCTCGATTCACATCCAATCCTGTTGTACTTTCTACTCTTAAGATAGTTAGTCTGTTTCGTTGTCACTATAAATTTACATCAGAATCAGTTTTGGGTCCTATTTACAAAAATTATTTATTCCCTCCCTCTACACTGGACTCATCATTTAGACAGTGGGTAGTTTCCGGGTTGATATGCATCAAAGATTTATAGACTGAAGGTTTATTCAACAGTTTTGAGAACCTCTGCAGATTGTATGACCTCCCACAAAACCACTTTTTTAGATATCTTCAGATTCGCAATTTTGTTAAAAACTAATTCATATCCTTCCCTGACCTTCCTCCTATCTCGCCCTTAGATAATCTTACTCTCAATTTTAATAATAAAGGATTGATTTCACTTTTATACTCCCAGCTCATGTCTTTGGAAGGGTACAATCTGGATAAAATTAAATCCAGATGGGAAGATGAACTGGGCATAGAGCTGTCTGAGGCTTTTTGGAGGGAGGCGCTTAAAAAGCTCCATTCATCATCATCTTCTGTTAGGTTAGGACTCATACAATTCAAAGTGCTGCATAGAGTTCACTTGAGCAAGGCATGGTTAGCTGGAATATATCCTGGGTTAGATGCAGCCTGTGATAGATGCTCTTTTTCCCCAGCCAGTTTGACGCATACATTTTGGTCTTGCTCCTCTCTAAGTAATTACTGGGCATTGGTTTTTAAAACTATCAGTGATGCCCTTGGGGTGACATTGTGGCCTTGTCCTTCAATAGGTATTTTTGGAACTCCCAGTGACACTGTAATCATTACTTTAACTGCAACCCAGAGGGACATTATTGCTTACACTTCTTTATTGGCCCGCAGAAGAATTTTGTTGAGTTGGAAATCCCCTACCCCTCCTTCTGTGACAGATTGGCTGGAAGATGTGATGTTCTTTTTAAAATTAGAAAAGATAAAATTTACACTAAGGGGATCTGTGGACAGGTTTTACTCAAAATGGGAACCTTACAAATTCAACAAGAATCATTACCCTTTCGTTTTTCTTCGGATGGGTTTAAATATCTTGGAATTCATATGACTCACTCCTTTTCTTCTTTGTTTGAAGCCAATTATAAAGCTCAGTTAAAAGAAGTAAAGGCAGAGTTGGAAAGATGGCATAGTCTTCCCCTTACTTTAGCCGGAAGAATACATTCAGTGAAAATTACAATTCTTCCCAAGTTCCTTTATTTGTTTCAGTCCCTACCAGTTTTTTTGCCCAAATCCTTTTTCCGTTTAATTAATCAATCTATATCCTCTTTCATTTGGGAAAATAAGATCCCCAGGGTTAACAAACATATTCTAGTCCCTACCAGTTTTTTTGCCCGAATCCTTTTTCCGTTCAATCAATCGATCTATATCCTCTTTCATTTGGGAAAATAAGATCCCCAGGGTTAACAAACATATTCTTCAGAGGACCCACGATGCTGGTGGTTTAGGCCTCCCAAGTTTTACCCATTATTACTGGGCATCAAATATTCAGAAGATATTATTTTGGCTTTATTGCCCAGAAACAAATAGGTGTTTAATTGAAGCACAAACATGTCACTCTTCTTCTCTCCCTGCTTTAGTGTATTCTTCCTTACCTTTGAAAGCTTCTCGATTCACATCCAATCCTGTTGTACTTTCTACTCTTAAGATATTTAGTCAGTTTCGTTGTCACTATAAATTTACATCAGAATCAGTTTTGGGTCCTATTTACAAAAATCATTTATTCCCTCCCTCTACACTGGACTCATAATTTAGACAGTGGGTAGTTTCCGGGTTGATATGCATCAAAGATTTATATACTGAAGGTTTATTCAACAGTTTTGAGAACCTCTGCAGATTGTATGACCTCCCACAAAACCACTTTTTTAGATATCTTCAGATTCGCAATTTTGTTAAAAACTAATTCATATCCTTCCCTGACCTTCCTCCTATCTCGCCCTTAGATAATCTTACTCTCAATTTTAATAATAAAGGATTGATTTCACTTTTATACTCCCAGCTCATGTCTTTGAAAGGGTACAATCTGGATCAAATTAAATCCAGATGGGAAGATGAACTGGGCATAGAGCTGTCTGAGGCTTTTTGGAGGGAGGCGCTTAAAAAGGTCCACTCATCATCATCTTCTGTTAGGTTAGGACTCATACAATTCAAAGTGCTGCATAGAGTTCACTTGAGCAAGGCATGGTTAGCTGGAATA